ATAGTCAACAAAATTTTGATATGACATGCACATAAACTCGTCTTCTTTAACATAGATGGGAACAATTCTGTCCTCCGTGTAATAAGTAAAATGTAGCTTGAAAAGATATTCAGCCATTGTCCAAAGAGCGTTGTAATAAATCAGCAATGCTGGTCAGGATTCACACTGTTCACGCTAAAAAAACGACTCGGAAATGTCTTGCGCAAACAATAAAAGACAGAATGGCGCCTCGGAGACTCAGACATGTATACATTGTATCAAAAATGTTTAGGCTACAGTTATAATGTTTTGATTAGTAGGGATAAAATCAGTGGCAATTTCATTAGGTACTTGCTCTGATGTATCAACATTTACCACAATCTGATCGTCCAATGTTTAGTGAAAACGATTGTAAATAAAGCATTGACCATTACATTAACTAATTAAAGTTGTCTACTATATTCTGTGAACAAAAGAAAAAATGGATTTCCAATGTTTGAATACTGTTATATTAACAAGAGAATACTGCCTATTTTCAGAACTAGAAGTATGGTTCGTCATCCTAGTCTGGCTGATGTTGTTCTTAGAAAACACATCATCATTCCTGCACAGGTTGCAAAGAAAAAGGTTTGTACTGGTATATATTCATTTCATAAATAGATGTCAGTTGGAAGTATTATTTCCATGTGTACATTTTATCTACCATATGGCATCCTTTAGTGGATGAATCTTGGCAAATAGATTTATTCTCTTTATTGAGTATATTTCACTGTGATACTGGTGTTATATTATGTCAATACAACTAGACTGATATTTAGAACCTTTAAGGAAATGAATGTCATAGTGTTCCAATGTTAAGTTTGTATGACACTCTGTATTATATTGGGAGATTATTATTGGATACTAGATATGCACAAAGACAGTACAGTGGCCAAACCCATAATTGAGGTTGATTCACTTTCTTACAATCAGGGCACAGGCAACTGTAAACTCAGAGGGTGTATATAAACGTGGAGGAATTGTGATTATACAAAATTGAAAGCTAAACTCACATTTTAGCTCCGCTGTCGATATGAGTGATCGTCCGTCGTCTGTGTCAATGTTTTACTTTTTTGACTTCTTCTTGAAAACTACAAGCTTGAATGCTTTGATACTTGGTGTATATGTACCTTATCCATATATATGTATATATATCTTTTATTCTCTAATTTTAGTGAATATTTTTAAAATTTTTGGTAAAAAGTGATATTTGTGACTTCTTGTTGAAAACCGCAATCCAATTGCTTTGATATTACATATATAGGTACTACATGTGGACCTCTCTCAGATTTGTTTATTTCATGATGATATCTTCAATTCTCTAATTTTGCTTAATATTTTTGTCATTTTTTGTAAAAAGTGATATTTTCGACTTCTTGTTGAAAACTGCAAGTCCGATTGTTTTTATATTACATATATAGGTACGGTACTACATGTGGACCTCTTTCAGATTTGTTAATTTCGTGGTGATATAATTTTGATGATTATTTTTGTTATTTTTGGTGAAAAGTGATATTTTTGAATTCTTGTTAAAAACAGCAAGTCCCATTGCTTTGATACTATATATATTGTTCATTTTCTAATAATATCTTCTGTTCTTTTATTGAAATGTGCATTGCTAACAGCGGAGCTATCTCAGCCGACTTGCTGCTTGTTTAACTTTCTTTGAATTTTGAAATTAGGAAGTTTATTATTAATTATTTTGCCTGTCAGTCATTTAGTTGAAAACTAGGGATTTCCTGAAATTTTAATAAATGACACATTCTCTCCTATCAATAATAATTCAGTGGTTTCACAAATTTTCATGTTCATACATACCTGAAATACCTTGTTTACAGTAGATTGTGGGTCTGAATGCATGTTCTGCCTTAATATAGCCTTAATATTTTCATCTATATTTTCAGGATGAAAAACAGACGCAAAAGCCAAGAACAAGTGCCAGAAAAGAAAAACAGAAAGGTACTTCCGTGATATGCACACTATGAAATTTGGGCTGTTTAAATGATGGAATATTTTTCAAATATCTCAATTCATTGAAATAATTTTTTGTAATCACCATCAGAATCTAAGAAAACCGAAGTGAAAAAAGTGAGAAGAAACTTGTTCTATGATGAAGAGGACTCTTCATCACCAATGCCATGTGATGTGAAATCAAACAAATTGGAGAGAAGAAATTCTGTTGCTGTGATGCAAAGACCTAAACAACCAACAACACCCAAAAGGAGAAGTGGTGGCCAGTTGGTACTGAAGACAAAGTCTGTTGCTGAGACACCAAAATCAAAACAAGTGTCCAATGCTATGTTGCAGAGACTGAATAGAGCAAGGTGAGTGTGAGATAATGTTGTACTATTCTGGGTCTAACTCTACACCAGTCATTAATGATGAAGAAAGGTTACATTTGGCTACAACAAGTTAACAAATTAGTTAGTAAATTTGGTATTCAGCTTCACAACTAACAGTATTTTCAAATCCATCTTTCTCCAGAAGAAGATCTCAGATTCCAACGACAACAGAAGTAAAAGTTGTTGAGGAGTCTCCAGAAAAGGCTGTCAAGTTATCATCAAAAGCATTGACAGGTATATAGACATCAAGTAGCTGTTTAGTCATAGACCATAGCTAGTTTGTTGATTTTCTGAAACTGCTGATATTTTAAACTGCATGGTTATATGACCTGTAATGCTTGGCTACTCCATTGTGGAGAGCACAGTAAAGCTTAAGGTAGAAGCCTACTCATAAATTAAAAAAAAAACAGAATTTTTTTATTTTGCAATAAATTGTACTCCAAGACAATGTAATATTGACCTAAAAAAAGTTGGGGGTGACCAGCCTTTTTTTTCGAGAAATTGATATTATGCAATATCCCCAAATCTAGCCTGGTGACATAGGCTGAAAAAATCATGTATTGTAAATGATGGGTTTTAAAAAGTGTCAAAAAATGCAATTTTTCTTTAACATTGTGTTCTATGGAATTGTTCTAAAAATAGCAATTTTCAGGAAATATTTCACGTTTCAAAAAAAGCTTAACTGTAACACACAAAATAATGCAATTTAATTGTACCATGAGACATTAGCTTCATGATTTTACATAATAAACTAAATTATCAATTTTGTCAAAAATTATGTCTTTGTCCAAACTTTTCAGCATCTCAATAATGATGGAGACAACATGAGTTAACTTTATTATGTTTTTTGTATTTCAGCCAAAATTCTAAGTCCAAGATCTCGCATCAAAACTTTACGAAGAAGGAACTCGTTTTATTCAGCATCACAAAAGGAACATTCTAGAAATCTACAAAAATCTAGGGAGGTTGCGTGTCGTCTTGCTGGTAAACATTTTATAAGCCCATCCAGAGAATGTTTAGGATATGACAGCAAGTTGATAACTCCAACAAAAGTTGTGCAAGTGAATGAAAATGCCACAACACCTGGAAAAACATCACCCACTGCACAGTTTTTGCTGTCAGAGATTTTCAGTCCTAGTTCCTTGAAACGTGTCAGGAAGTTTCCCATTCAGCCTGGTGTTCCTGATTCGCCATGTCGCAATACAAGATCACAAATTAGCTTGACACCAACTAAATTATCACTGGAACAAGGTACATATGTAACTGAAACACCAGAGAAGTCTCTGGTTGTGAGAACTCCAGTAAAGGAGAAGTTAATGATGTCACTGAGTTATAACACTAGATATCAACTTCGTAATACTCCTTGCAAAGCAAAGAATGAAAATACTGCATTGGATGCAAATCAGTCTTTACTGTTATCGCCGCAATCTAGAATATCCAATGATGCGTGGATGGAGAAAACTCCAAAAGCTGTTTGCTCAAATGTTAAAAACATTGCTGTTGAAATAAGGCAAACAATAAAATCACCTTCTACTATGAGGAAGGATGGTGTTGTCCAACCTGAAGATCAAACAGAACTGAAAATAAAAAGTTCCCTGACTAAGAGATTCGAATGCATAAAAAAAATGCATACATTTTCAGTTGGTCAAGTGGAAAAAGCAGATAGTAAGGTATCGGAAAGGTTATTTAAAACACCAACAAAAGAAGTGTCATCAGCCAAAGATAATAAATTAACCGAATGTTCGCCATCTTTGAACACAAGGTCTCGTATGTCATCTCCTTCTCACTCAAAACCCTCCATGTGCTCTCCAACATCGTTCCAAGTGTCTCCTTCTAAACAGAGATGGAGAATCAAAACTCCAGAATCTCTAAGTAAATGGCCGAGACGAAAGCAATTTTCGCCGAGGTTCTCAAAATAACAAAATTGTTCTACAAAGAATACACAAGGAAGAGATAGTGAGTCCCATGGGGTCACCGATCTTCAGTGGAAAGAGGAAAAAGTCTTCTAGCGGTAGCAGCAGCGACGGAAGCTGTGAAAATACTGGTAATTCACCCATATTCGGTAAAGTTGTAAGTCCTTATGAAGCATCACGGCAAGAGAAAATGGTGAAAAGAGTTCGATTAAGTGATAAAGATGATTTAACAGATACTGATGTCTACACTGGAAATGATTCTGTTGAACAGACTTTGAATGTGAGTGGGGAAATTGTAGAGAGTAAAACATTGATTAGAAAGGAAGATGAATTGCCAGTGGATGTGGAGGGACCTATCACACGTTCACAGTCTGCTGAACTGATAAAATCCACCACAACAAATAAAACTGCAGAATCTTTAAATGTACCAATGACAAGAAAAAGGTCTAGAGAAATATCTCCACTGCCAGTGAAGACAGAGTATATTAGAGTCACTGAAGAAGAACCTAAACATTCAGTTATCTCTGAACAGTATAGACCATCACCAAAACGGGTTAAAGGCTTTGTGAGAAGTCCAGAAACAAGACTGAGTAAGCTAAGAGCTTGTGTGAGCAGTACTTCAAGTCTGTCACCAGGAGTTGGTTTGTCGCAAGATCCATTAAATACGCACATTACTTTTGCTTCTCCAGTCAATGGGAACACTCATCAGCGATTCCCACTTTGGTCTTCTCCAAGCATAGAGTCATCCCTTGGGTCAAGTATTAACTCAGGACAGAAAGGAAGTGGTTACTTTTCATCGGACAATGATGAAGTATTTTTAGGACTTTCTACCCCGCCTTTGCATCAGGTGACTTTGGCGGCAAGAGCTACAGGGTCTGAAAAGTTATCACCAGCGCCATTGAGTAGACAAGGATTAGATATGTTGATGAATTCACCTATGAATACACCTATGAATACACCTGGAAAGGGCAGGAAACAGAGTGAAGATTATAATTTTGGTAAGTAGGTTGTGGTGGTGGATTACTGTAAAATCTGTATTAGAAGCCGCGGCTTCTATCAAAATGGTACAATGCAACAGAGGGGATGCGGCTTTTATTAGAGCATGTACACATATGAGAAATGATGAATTTTTTATTCTAAATTATTCAAAAATAATGGGTGCGACTTCTATTAGGGATGCGGCTTCTAATACAGATTTTACGGTAGTATTTATTAGTGTGGTTGGTGTTCCAAGAGTGCGGTGAGTATTTGTGAAAGAGAAGGATGCTTGGAAAAATTGTAGTCAGTGTACTGGATATTTGGGAGAGTGCTGGATATATGGTAGTGTAGTGGCTGTTTAGAAGTGTGGTTGGTATACGGTAGAGTAGTGGGTATTTGAAAGCGTGGTGGGTATACGGTAGTATAGTGGGTATTTGGGAGAGTGCTGAGTATGCGGTAGTGTAGTGGGTGTTTGGGAGAGTGCTGAGTATACGGTAGTGTAGTGGGTGTTTGGAAGAGTGCTGAGTATACGGTAGTGTAGTGGGTGTTTTGGAGAGTGCTGAGTATACGGTAGTGCAGTGGGTGTTTGGGAGAGTGCTGAGTATACGGTAGTGTAGTGGCTGTTTAGAAGTGTGGTTGGTATACAGTAGTATAGTGGGTATTTGGGAGAGTGCTGAGTATGCGGTAGTGTAGTGGGTGTTTGGGAGAGTGCTGAGTATACGGTAGTGTAGTGGGTGTTTGGGAGAGTGCTGGGT